TGTAAATGGTTAAAGATAAATGAATCCACTCCAAAGAATCTAGACTGGATAGCAGCACATCTTGTATTATTGTATTTTAGGTTGTGTGTATGAATACCTTATTCTGATTTAGCTTAATCTACTTTGAATTTATTTCAGTGTATGTTTTATGCAAATGTAAAGACTATGGCTTTCCCTGGAGAATCCCTAAATCAACAACAACAAAAAACAGAAATGAGAGAAAGAAGTCAGTGTCTAATAATCTGCAATAAAATGCAAAACCTTTTCCTCACAGTTATGCTTCGACCACTGTCACGAAACTCTGTTCTAGTTTTTCTGGCAGATCCAGATTGTCGTTGGTTTGATTCAAAGATCCTTGAAGTGAACAGCAAGGCTGCAGATGACATCATTGGACTTTGGATCAGGCCCTAATTGCCTCTCATGAATCTGTCCTTGCCCTGAGTGAATTGGAGTTTTATAGCTTTAGCAGCTATGTGCCAGCTAAAACATTTTACAACCCATTAGTAGATTGCTTATTCCCTACCCGTATTTCCTCTGTTCAAAATTGATTCTCTTTTTTCTTTCTTTTTTTTTTTAACTAAATACAACAGTTTTATTTTCCTTTGCAGACAGCACTTTGATTTTTTTTTTGTGTGTGTGCTTGTTGTTGGGGAGGGAGACTGAAGCAAGAAATGACAGTTGATAACTGTTAAAAGAAAATCATGTGGATTAGTTCTGTAGCGCTTTCATGATGCTTTATTATGTTGCTGCTTCATGTGTTGTCCACATTCATCTCAGTATTCCAGAGCCTGCCTAAGAATCCCATGTTCCCTAAAAGAAAGCATTCAAAAAACAAGTTCAGTTATGAGTGTGCTTAAACATACAGACTGAAATGCAGAGAATTTTGCTTCTTGTTGCCTGCTGGAGTAAGTACAACTAGGATATTGATAGTTATGCACGTGTGTGTGCACATGCACACATACACAGATGTGTATATACTTTCTAAATCATTCTCCGCTTTTTGATCGACTCTTCTGAATTCCTGAATACCTCTTTTTTTTTTTTTTCATAAGTTCTTTTGGAGAGGGGCTGTAGTTGGGAGTTAAGCTTGGGAAAAGTCTATTTTGTCATAGAAGTGATGCAGCCAGGCAAGAGAGGCATGTATATTAACTTTTAGTGCATTGATGTAGAGAGTTGGTAACTGTGGAAGTTAGAGGCTTAGTGGGGTCCTTGTGGATATTGCACCTTTGGTTTATTTAGTGGCAGGAGTTGGAGACGTGGAATTTTTCACATGAATAAATGCTTCCAGGTGTCTTGTTTTGGGGGGAAACAGCTTTAAGGGTGTTTACACAGGTCCTACCACTTAGCTTTGGGGCTGCTGTGTTATTTCCTGGCAGCAAATAAACGTTGTTGTTTCACATTAAAACTAGAGTCTTTGTTCAGTGAAATAGCCCCCTTTGACTTGTGTGTTGTCTTGTGCCTGTGAAGGGAGGAGCCTGTGTTATTTCCTGGCAGCAAATAAACATTGTTGTTTCGCATTAAAACTAGAGTCTTTGTTCAGCGAAATGGCCCCCTTTGACTTGTGTGCTGTCTTGTGCCTGTGAAGGGAGGAGGTCTATGGGTTTTCTGCTTCAGCTGTGTGTTTTTTCTGTTACTCTAATTTGTTCCTCACTAAGAATCATAGCTTTATGTTTGTAAGGTCACAGGCTCAGAAGGCAGTGCAGAAAGGATCGTGTCCTCGCCTGGAAAATAATAACTAAGAGCTGCAGCAAAATGTTTGTCTGGTGGTAAGATGCACCCATGGTTAAAGTGGAGATCCTTAAGATGGTATTTGCAATGAATGCATTGATTTTGTTAAGAATATATGCAGCCCAAATCTGCATATTCATCCAAAGCGCTTTCTCATTTGAATATCTTATTTAATTCCTTCAAGCTTAATTGCATTCTGCTTTTCTTCTTTTTTTTTTAAAAAAATAATATTTTATTCATTACCTAGAAATGCACAGAGTCTGGAGTGGAAGTGCTGACTATTCAAAATCAAAGCCAAATATTATAAACTGGTAGAAGATTAGGAAATTAAATCAGTTTTAAGCTTTTATTCCCTCTCACTCTGATCTGTCATAGAAGGAAGAAAGCTTTCATTAACGTACGACTGTGCCACACAAGCAAATTGCCAGACATTGCTCAGTGGCCATGCTACCTAAGATCTACAGGATTTAGCAGAAAATGCATCTTACTGGTAGGTCACTGATAGAATGTGAAAGCCAGAGCAAAAAGTGCAGCATGTGAGCGTTAATGTCTGTGAAGAGACTCCCAAATTGCCCTTCTGATGCAGGAGCAGCTTAGTCTCATGTTTTTCAGATTAACTTGATGCTGGCCATTGGCGTGGACCGAGCCATACCTGGGGGTACAACTCCAAACTCTCTGCCTGTTTCCAGGGGCTTTATATATGCATTCTTAACAAACTTTAGATTAATAATCATAGAATCATAGAATCATAATGGTTGGGAAAGACCTTCAAGATCATCAAGTCCAGCTGTAAACCCATCACCACCATGCCTGCTAAACCATGTCCCTAAATGAAAATAACTGGGAATATAGTAGTCATAGGGCCATACTGTGGGCTGCATCCTCTTATGCTTGAGGAAAAAAAAAAAAAGGCTGGTATAAAGCTGTAAAAGCTGAAAAGCAAAGGGCTTAGGCTTTTTGTTACCTGATCATCCGTGGAAAAGAGGAAATGCTGCTTCCAAGAGTAAGGCAGAGAGGAGGAGGAGGAACTCGGGAATGGGAATGCCTTTGGGAAGTGGATATTTGTCCATTTGCCAAAAGGGGAAACACCACTCCCTTGAGAGGCCCCTAAAAACTGAAGCTCTCATCATCAGTCTGTGCTTTCCCCCTCTTGGTGCCTTGTGACAGCAGTGGCAGCATCTGTGCTGCTGGGTGGGGGGTCCCCGCCCCCGCGCGGGTTTTTTCCTTGTGCCAGCAGTGGCGGCATCCGTGCTGCTGGCTGGGGCATCAGCACCAGCGCGCGTCCGGCCTTGACTGCGATCTGAGCCGTGACAGGGACGTGCGGGAAGTCATAGCTGCTCCAACAGAGTTATGTGTCAAACAAACTCCCTCATTTAATTTTTTAATATCTTTCAGACCTATTTGTCGCAGGGTGGCATTAGCTGCCCTAGGACAACAGCCTCCAAAGGCTGGGCAGAGAGGTGTCGTTGCAGCCACTTCCCTTGCATCCAGCTGCTGTGGTGGGAGCAGTTGCTCTTTGAAACATAGCACTTAAGGGAAAGATTTTTAGGTGTCTGAATTATTTGCAGTAGTGTGCTGGTGGCCTTTGCTACTTTACTACTGTTTAAGTTAATAAATCTGAGGAATCACAATGGTGAATCGGAGCTATTATATCTCCACTCTCT